AAGAAACAAGGGAAACCTCTGGCTTGCATCCATGCTCCTGACAACCTTGAACCATGTTCTCTTGGCTCTGGACTCTGACCCTGGACTATGTTGTGTGAGTTGGCTTTGGTATTTGGATATCGGCTCTGCATTCCCTGAATTCCTGACTTTGGACTGGCTTATCGGACTCTGCTGTTGTAACCCCTGGGAACGTGACACAGAGGCATTAATGGAAGAACTGCCCACTTCTAATTTAAGACACCTGGATGGATCAATTCAGGGGTCAGAGACAGGATGGTGGTACCCAGAGAGGGTAAAAGGGAAGGGAATCAGAGACTTGGAGGTGGTGTGTACTCATATATTTTCATATACTATGTTTGTGCACCTGTGTGTGTGTGTGTACATGCATGAATGAGTGCATGCATTTGTGCATGCATATGTGTGTGCATGCATTCTTGTGGTTAGGTCACCTGCATTCTTCTGTTAGTGCAGCCTAAAATCTTTTGGATGTTAGGGGTCTGTCTTTCTCCCTTTCACTTTCTTACTGATGGCGGTGGTGTCGCTGCTAAACCTCAGAACAGCTGACTTCTGCTTCTGTTTTTCTTGTGTTCTCTGGGCTGGAGGTGTGTAAATAATTCTGCCAGAAATAATTCTGATGGGGCCATGTAACCCTACCTTACTTCACCCCACCACAATTCATAACTATTTTCATCTTTCCATTAGCAGGAAAGGGGTTTTTCACTGAGATCTAGGAAGACACAAAAACCAACATGAGTACAGGTGAGAAGTGGTTTGGAGTGTTTCCAAAAGGGCTTGGACACTAATCTGTACATCATTATTCGGGTGCAGACTGAATCAGTGGGCCAGTGAACCTCCCCAGTGACAACTGAGTCTAAATAGATTGGCAGGGTAAAGCCACTATGAGATTATTTTACTTTATGTGTCTTTAAAAATCAGGCCCTCAGCATGGAGAAACACTGGACTTACCAGGTGGTTCTACATATAACTTGGACGGAATTGTATTTCTATCTGATGGTTTTTTTACTTTTCCATCCAAGATTGACCATGAACAGCCTGTTTATCACACCATCCCCTCCTCAAGAACTAGATCCAACCTTAGTCCAACTAGAATAAGCCAAGTGGAATTAGTTCAACCTCCACAACTTGTGATAAATCAGTCCCATTCATTTTAGTGTGTCTGCTTAGTAGAGATTTTTATAAAAGAATGAATCCACATATCTGAGTGGTAAAGACATGACATGAGAACCTTTTAAAACTTCTGCAGCAAGACAGAAGATGATACTTCTGTTAGTGCAGCCTAAAATAGCATTTGCCTTTTTTGTAGCCACATCACACTGTTGACTCACATTCAGCTTGATCACTCCAATATCCTTCTTGCTTGTAGTATTGATGAGCCAGGTATCCCCCATCTTGTAACTCTGTGTTTTGTTTCTTTGTCCTAGATGCAACACTTTACACTTATCCCTGTTAAATTTCATTCTGTTTTTTTCAGCCCGGTACTTATGCCTATCCAGATCATTTTGAATTTTATTTTGGTCTTCCAGGGTATTAATTATTCCACCCAATTTTGTGCCATCCGTAAATTTGATTAGCATTCCCTGTACCCCCTGATCCAGGTCATTAATAAAATGTTGAAGAGCACAGGGCCCAGGACTGAGCCCTGAGGTAGCCCACATGTTACCTTCTCCCAGTTTGAGAAGGAGCCATTAATCATCATCTTCTGAGTATGATTCTATAGCCAACTGTGTTTTTCATTGTGATTCTCTGTAATGTCTGTAAAAGAAGCACTGTATCTTCTCTAATGCACAGTAGGCTATGAACAAGTATTAGCGGTTATATAAGTGAAAACAAAATAAAAATAAAAGGTAAAAAAATAAAAAAAGTTCTCACATTCTTTACAGCACAAAGCTTCTACTAAAGACCTGCATAGCAAAGACACTATCATCATAATGTTTAACACCCAGTGACTTTCTCACAAGCCAACCACAATCTCTGTATTTTGATATCTATGCCTTGATGCCATGTATAAATATTTTCCATGTTATATCTCCTTCTCTTTTATCTGATGAAGTGGACTTATATAAGTTAATCTTTAAGGTGCTACCACGCTTTTGTCTCTTTTTATTTTTTATTATTATTTTGTTTTCACCTATAATGAAAATAAACTGTGTTAGACAGCTAGCAAATGTACAGCTAGCAAAAGAAGAGAAACTGTAGCAGGGGGCTTCAGCAGATATTCCATGTGGACATTTTGCAATATTTGGGGCTGCTTAGCTTAGAAAATAAGCATGATGCAGGCACAATGCATAGGCAGAACATTTTCATTAAAAGATCCATGCAAGGGTGGGGGGTTCAAAAGTGTTCATATCAAATGTAAGTTAAAGGGACAACTGATTTAGTTCTAAGTGTGGATATAATATAGGAAAAAAATATTTGAGGGGAAAATATTTGCTTCTTAAATACAAGAGGGTGTGCCTGCCATCTCTAAAAGACTTGCCAGCTTGTGTATGTATGAGAGTGTTTTTCTTGTTAAATGTTTTCCTTCCCTGCATATTAATAATAAAAATGTACATAGGTCACCATTATAAATGACTGGAAAATGTAAACGGTGGCAGAAGGCCATGAATACCGCAATGATGACAATCTGGTAGAATGTGAATCTTTTTGCCAGTATAAATATTACACCACTCATCCAGATTATGCTGAATGTGTTTTTGAAATAAAGATCTAGGAAATACATTGAGTAGCAAATCAAAAAGCCATTATCCCAAACACTGTTAGTTTTCTTTAGTAGGCTTGCAGACCACAATCCCTTGACAAGTTGTTTTGCAGAAATGCAAGTGGCCAATGAGACATTTTGATGCCTAATATAAAATCCAAAGGGTGCTCTCTCCTACTCCTGTATCCAGTAACTCAGCATAGCTTGCTATTTAATTAAGACCACCACCATGCCCTGTGTACTGGGAAGGCCAGCCTCATTAAAATAACTGGACCAGAATAGTTGAATAGTACCTATTCCCCAGCTCCCAATCATTTCAATGGGCTTCTGCAACTTCCAACCAATGGCCTGGGCTCACAGGGTCAAAGTCCAAGGACTCTCTGAATAGTAGGGGCTGGGACAGCATCTGCCAGCCCTTCCTCCTCATCTATTCCCACTAGGCCTAGCTGCAATCCTCACAGTAGCTAGGGAAGAAAGGGGTTTTCCCTTTGCTGCCTCACACCACTACCCTGCATCTGTTGGCTGAGTCAATCATAGGGCCAGCCTAGAATTGTGCCTTTGAAGCTATTTCATATACAGTACTAATAATAATTGCATGCAATTGAGTCAATTCTGATTTATGGTGACTTTTTTTCAGAGTTTTCTAGGTAGAGAGCACTCAGAAATGGTCTTCACCCTTCAACAACTTTGGTGCTTGGGGTGCCAGATCTCCATGTAGTTCAAAATCCATCTATAACTCTTATGGTCCCAAAATATAACCACAATCCATAAACAGCCAAGTCTCTCTCTCTCTCTCTCTCTCCTGAGACAAAGAGCAGCATTGCATTTATTGAATTTTTAATTTATTGAACATCTATTTATTTAGTGAAAACTTTAATTTTTAAAAATCTGTGCATAACCCATAACCATGCTATTCAAACCTGTCCAATTCAAGGAAGAATTGTGTGTAGCTTTCCCAAGGCTACATAGGCTGCCTTTTCTCTCCCGGGAGGCATCATGGGGAACTGAAACCAACCTCTAGCTCCGCAACTAGATATCGAACTCACTGAGTTATCCAGCAGGCTATAAATGGTGAAGGGGTGGGAAATTCCCTCACAGTCTGGAGGGAGGACCACGAGCTTCTAGTACTAATACTGGGCATTTGCTAATGTAGTTGCAGGAATGTTTGGGTGTTTGGGTTCCTTAAAATCATTATTTCGAGAAGCTCTGATTCTCCAGAGTTCATGTTTACATTGAAATCTCTGTGGCATGACAGAAAAGCATTTTGTGTGAATATACAGAATTGTTTGGGTGTGATGTAGAAGCCAACAGTGGCCCTGAGTTTCATTGCCATGGCAATATCATAACAATGGATCCATTGTGCAGCAAACAGCTGAAGTCAGGTCTTTTTTTTTTTTAAGTCTTAGCATGCCATACCAAAGACCTTATCATCTCTCTATGTTGACAGAAAAGAAACAGGCTGGTATAAATTAAAAGCAGAAGTATGTGTTCCAGTGAAGATATGAGCATCAAAACAAGGGATCCATTCTCTCATATGTGACCTCTAGTTGGAAGCATTTCTGTCGAACTTCTTTGGCAATTTATTTTTTTCCTCTTTCTTTAATTCTGGTCCCATTTGCTTTGGCACAAAACACATTCTCCACAGGCAGGCTGGGAAAAGAGCTGTATTAGCCGCTCACGTGTCTCATAATTCCAGGATCTGCCAGAGCTACAAGCTGAGGGAGGGGAAAATGTCCATCTCACAGCTGGGAAAGAGGCTTTGGTGACTCAGTAAGCACGTTAAATTATTATGGCATTACTCGTCCTGTGTAAAGTTAGGGTGTGGGAGCACTGAGCCAAAGAGAACGCTGACCATATTTAATGGTGAATTCCCAATGATGAGGGGCTTCTAAAATATTCTCAGGAAGATGTGATTCAGCTTCCTAGGAAACCAAAGAAAACTGTGGCTGCTAGGAGGAGACGCCAAGTAAACACTGTTTGCTGTGGAGGAACATGGAGGCATTCCTGCTGAGAGAACATATTCATGCAGCGATCATTGAAGATATACCTCATTTTCTTCCAGTCTGATCTGATGCTATTTTGAGGATAGCCATAATGTCAACGGTTCATGACATAAGATCAAATTTATTATTACTCTGCCTGTGGCAAGTTTGTATTGAGCTAAACAGGCCTGTTCATATGGTTCTAACTTAGGATAATGAGGGACCCATGACACTGAGGCAAACCACACAGCAATTTTATTATGTTCTTGTCCGTCTTACAGAGATAGGACATGCTGCTTTATATTTCCCTATCTTAACAGTGCACACCTCTGCTTGACCTCACATCTGTGAAATTCTGTGAGGAAGAGGCGCTTCCATGCCACAACCCCCTACTGAACAAGATCCATAATTTGAAATTAGCTTGAGTTGTCTTACAACATTTAAATTTTTTTAGATATCAGCCACAAACAATTGCGGGGCAGCAATGGGTGGTGGTGGTTGTATTTTATTTTATCACCAGTCAGGGTAGTAAGGAGTTGACCTCTTCAATCTCATGAAATCGGATTTTCCCTTCAACGTTTAAATCTGTATTTCAATTGCCCACTGCAGTTGAAAATGATCACTTTGGAAGTGAAATGCTAGAAGAAAACAACACAAAACACAATCATATGGAAAAGCCGTACAGTGAAAACCAATTAAACATTACAGGATAAAAACATTACAGGATAAAAACAGAGAAAAAAAAGTGATTTAAAAAACCTATGTGAGTCTGGAAGTCCTCAGTAACAGTTTGGAGGCCTGCTTCCTTGTGATTTAACGGAGAGAAAAAAAAAGTGATTTAAAAAACCTATGTGACACTTAAAACTGATTGAAGTAATGGTACTTGGTATCTGGTTGTATTTGATGGCATATTTCACCTTTACTCCTGAGGAGCTTGTTGTATCATCTATGCAAGAAGTGATCCTGTGATATAAGAGAGGCTGAGAGACAGGAAATAGACCAGCCCCAAACATTTTGCTGCCCAAGGAGAGGGGGGATATGCTGCTCCTCCCCCATGTTTTGTGGTGTGGTGTCCAAAGCCAGCCAAATTATTTTGGTACCTGAGGCTGAGACAAACCAAATCTCAGAAGTACATTTCTGCATCCTTGGTAGTAAAAACACAGTAATAACAAAGTAAATAATGAAAAGAAAAAGTCAGAAATCTTTGTATTTGTGAAGGTTTTCACGGCTGGGATCTAATGGTTGTTAGAGCCCAAAAAACCCACAACGACCATCAGAAATCTTTCATGACATCAAAAATATACTGCCTGAGACAGCTGCTGTACCATGCCTAATGGTTGAGCCGGTCCTGCACCACAATTGGTCCAGGTATGTTATGCCTAAGTATATATGTGAAGCTCAGCTTCTCAAACTAAGTCAGATTATCTCTGCAACACTGCTCTGTCAGGCTAAGAAATATTACTCTGCTTTCGTATCAAGGTACACTTTTTAACATCACAAAAGCTACTGGTGATGTTTAAAAAAGTGACTCAGACATAGTTCTCACTTCAATAAATCTGTGCCTGGACTGGTTCAGCTCTGACTGGCTGAAGCGGAATGATGAAGACGCTTGAGTGCTTTTTTCAGAAGTAGTTTCTTGTGTTTCCTCTTCTGTGTCCTCAGGAGAGCCTCTATTTTCATTCTGAAGAAAAAAGAGGAACATTATAACAGCCACTAAAGTAGCTATATGAAAAATATCATGAGAAAAGCAAGGTGGGCATTCCTTAACTGCTGTTTTGACAAGATTGCTCTGAATACATGGACGGTGTGCAGCCAGAAGGCAGGGAACAAAAGCATTTGTTTCATTCTTGTTATAATCAATCCTCTGATATTGTATCAACTAAAACGAACCAGCCAACCAACCAATAAACACTGCTCTCAAATCTTTGAGCAGCCTGCCTCAGGGACCATCTCGGAGATGTAAAAGTGCTAACACATATTCACAAATACATACACATTTGTATTTGTGAATGGGCGTGGGGTAGAAGTCCACTTCCAGTTTTGAAAAACTAGTACATTTGGGGCTGTTTGGCTGCAGAGCTAGTATGGTGTAGTTGGACAGAGTGATGGACTAGGACTCAGGAAACCTCAGATTCCTCTCAGCCATGAAAACTCATTCAGGAATGGCACTGGTAAAACCCACTCTTTAAATATCTCCCATACACCAAAGACCATATAAGGACTGCTGAAAGTTAAATGTAACTTCATGGCACATAACACAACAAACGGTGCAGAGGGGCCCTGCAACCTAATTAAAAGATAGGTTAGCAATCCTGGAGGCTTCCAGACGTAGTTCTCTAATGCCCCCCAAAAGAAGAGGTTGGGAGAAGCCTGAAACAAAGGACAGCTCAGAGGCAGGAGTGGAGGGTCAACTCCTCCCGAAAATTTGGGAATTCTCCCCATCACAGTCCACAAACTGACGCTGGCTGCAAATACAGCCCGACAACCTGCACAGAGTCACGGATCATCACTATGCCCTGCTGGTAGTATTTGGGGATGGAAAGCAATCATAACATTCATTCTTTATGCTAGTTGTACTTCCCCCCCCCCCTTATCCTTATTTTCATTTCCTTTTTCATGCTCTGCTCCTCACTGTGGTTTAAGCATTGTTCACTAGCATTTAACAACTAACTGGTCAGGAGTCACATTAAGATACAGTCTATCACCCTCGTTTGTTGTTCTCATTATCATGATCGACATGATTCAAGTACACTTAATCTTTGTTCTGTCGTCCTTCTACTTTTTCTATCAGGCCCTGGAAAGTTACTTTCTGAAAGTAATTAGTTCCTAGAATTGTACATCTGGAAGGGGACCCAAAGGTCATTGAGCCCATGTCCTTGCAGAAGGAGGAAATCCATCCATAAAGTAGCCATTGAACCTCCACTTAAAAATCTCCAGTGAAAAATCCACCATTTTCCTAGGCAATCTGTTCCCCTTTCAAACGGCCATCACTATCAGGAAGTCCTTCTTAGTGTTTAGTCAATACAGTATAGCCTATTTTGTCATTTCGATGCAGTGTTTTGACTCTTACCCTCTGAAACTGAACAAAACAATCTTCCACAAGACAGCAGTTAAAATATCTGAAGATGGTTACCATGTCAACTCTCAGTCCTCTCTGTTTCTGTTGCTCCTTCATGTGTCTGCTATGTAATGAATGTTGCTAGTTGCAACATTGATTTTTGTTTGCATTCCTTTCAAGTTTTTGCTATTTCAAAAAACTTCAGGATTCAAATGAAGAGTGAAATTAAATTTGAAAAACTATTTACATTTCCAAAAAATGATGTTTATAAATAACATTTACAACCAGAAAACATGTTATACTGATAAAGTAACTTCATACTAACATGTTCCAATGCCTGCAAAATGCAAACTGGCTGTACAGTGGCTATAATGTAGAGTACAGTAACAGCTTTTTCTTTACAGACGGCCATGGCCCAGTCTGTATGATAGAGCTAGCACACTGTTAAAAGCAGAGCTCGCTCTAAGAGGAAAAAGAAAAATGTCTTTTTATCCCAACACAAGATTGGCTTATTCAGCATATTGCAAATTAACTTGCTTTTGCTTTGTGATTGATCACTGGGAGGCAAACATGGAATTCATTTGGAAATCTGATTGAACTCTGGAGGAATAAATGTAATAGCAGAAAATGAGCATTTCTCTTATGGTGTGGTTTGAATCCAACCTCCTTGTGAATCGTTATTTCCCAAGTTCTGCTTTCTCTCTCTTTGTCCAGTGGTGCAGAATCACATTTGGGCTGGTGTTTCCTCAAGCTGTGCCTTTCCTTCTCTATCAGTGGATTAATCTTTCTGTCTGCTTTCCTAACCTCTTCATTTACTACCACCAATGCAGAAACACACTGAAAAGCATTATGGGTAATCTCTCTCAGCATTCCACAGACAACAATTCTGTATAGAATGAACATGTGATGAAAGGAGCAGGATCAATCTCAATGGCTCAGCTCTATCCCTTGACGCATTAAATGTCAAAAGATCAAAACCTGACCCTGTGCCCACACAACCTCTATGATCCTAGGGCTTTCTATATCAACTAGACCTCCATCTTCTGGCAATCATTCAGTTTCTCATTTGACTGCTGATGCTACTGTTTAGGTTTTCATTGCTGGCACTTGACTATATTTTAATATCTCAGTTGTCAAAATATTTTAGCATGATGCTTATGATTTGCCTGTTTTGCCCATTTTTATTGCAGTGTTTATGGTTCGTGTTTTTGAGATGTAGATTTTATTGACTATCCTTGTTTTTTATATTTATGGACTTCGCAGAGAGCTTTAGCAGTTGGGCAGTATATAAAGATTTTCAGTAAATAATAAGAAAAGATGCACACAGGCACAAGTGTACATGCCTAGGCTCTGTCTTGGATTTTAGGCAAACAAGGGCAGAAAGCATGACTCCAACCATCCTTCATGTGTTCCTTCGATCTGGAACTGTTGTGCAAGAACAGTGTGCACCAAAGCACTATACTTACACACACACACACATTGATTTGATGAGACACCAATTTCCACCTTCTTTATTTGATGTGTGAAAATGGCAAACCCTTGACCTCAGTAAGGAAACTTATACATGACAGAAAGGAGAGGCAAACCTCATTTTCTGTCCACATGCAAGACAGTTCCAACAGGCCATTTTCAGCTGTGGTCAACAAAGTACATTTTGTTTAGAGATACAGTCCTCCTTCCCTCACAAATTATGGAGATTTCTTGATATAAATGGCTATTTTAAGAGCCCGAAATACTTCTTTTCCGCACAAGCCTAATAGAATTTCTGGAAATGTTTAATTTCCAGATTGTATTGAAAAAGCTCTCTCAAACAAAGTGTGCATCATTTGGATCTATTTATATAGCCTGCATGCCTTCTGAGTACGTTCCTCATGAATGATTTTTGACCTTCAGTTTTGTTTTCATTGGGTTACTGAGAAGGATCAACAAGTGTTTTGCTTATTTTCTTAGAATGAAATATTTATCTCTTAGTCTGAAGAGGGATTTTTTTGAGGGGGGAGAGAAATGACGTGTAAAAATAGAGGCTGCAACCCACAAGGAGGCTCTAAAACAACATGGACGGACATGGATGGATAGATGGAGGCAGGCAGGAGAAAGAAGGGTTTTTAGGTCTTTAAGAGGTGAACTCAGTCCTTGAAAGAACATATTTATTTTATTTATTGATTGATTGATTTGATTTTTACCCCACCCCTCTCCAGTCCTTGAAAGAACATAGGAGACTAGGCATGACTTGGTAGATTAATGTTCTCACCATTCTCCTCAAACCAGGCTGTACTCATCCAGCCATATCTGAACATCAAAGTCCAGTCTTGGGAGGGTTCTTTTTTTGTACTACAACTTGCACAATGTCATGCAACTGAGGTATTCTGGGAGTTGTTGTCCAAAAACCAAAAGGAATTTTTGAAGCTCTGTGCAAACTTTTCTCAAAGCCCCATTACGTTTAAAAAAGGTTTGGATGCAACATTAAAAGGCTGTGCTTTGGGAGCAACAGAAGAAGAAGAAGCTTTTTGAGGCCCAATATGAAGCTAGTCACACAGTTCATTGGACTTTGGGCAAGATAACCGGATACTCTATCTTTTGTTTATTTTATAGAAAAGAGGCACACTGTTCATCCATTTGTACCTTTTCTATTATTAACTTCAGGGGGAACCATGCCACAACATTAATGGGGCAAAAGGTATTTCCCCCACTACTCTTGACCCAATAGTGTGTAACTCTACATACCAACCTAAAGGGCTGTGTGTGGTGCTGCGCTTCCAGTTGCCAAGAAGACCTGCCAGGTTTCTGGGTGGTGGCTAAAGTCTCAGAGAAATGCTAGGCTTCTCCTGGCCTTCAGGTGAGGAAACAAACTCCAGAGTATGTTGCACTGGAAGAAGAGTGAGTTTTGTTTTTGTGAATTAACAAAATTAAAGTGAGAGGGAGATTAAATCGGGGGGGGGGGAACTAAAAGATTCTGACCTGGGATAAGGAGTAAATCTCAATGCCAATCAACTATGCATCACCATCATTGTAGAACTGCAGAGCTAGAAGGGATCCTATGAATTATCAAGTCCAGCCCCTGTCAAGGAGGCACAGTGGGGAATCGAACTCTCAGCCTCTGGCTTCACAGTAATGCTTGACCTGTAGAGAAAGCTCCTACCAATTTCCTGTCTTCCTTCTCTACCCCCAGATGGGAACCATCTGTTTAGATAGCTGTTAGGTCCTGTTTCCAATGCTCCTGTGATCCTTCCCTAATCAAAGCCTGCATGACGATATACAGTAAATGGTATCCACACAAGCACTTGATTGATTACATTGAGAGACCCACAATCTCTCTCTCACACACAAAGAATAATAAATATTGCAATTCTCCCTTCCTCTTGAAAGTGGTACAATTTCTCTTTTTCTTCTAACATTCTGCATGTCCATGATCATATGGTCCCCATGACGAGTTTCCAAGGACAACCTGGCCTTTCCATTAGTGTTTCACCTGTTAATTTCTTTCTGCTTTGGATTCCTGGGTTTATCACCCTATCTCTTTCATTTGTCAAAGTGAGATTTTTCTTTAAAAAACCCATAAAACAACAAAAAACACAAACAAACCCCAAAACACCACCCCAAATTCTCAATTTTGATTTACAGAT